GCTGCCATCTAGTGGCAACAACTTGGAACTAAAACACTTCTGGGCCAAGGGCTGTTTTTCTTGCAGATTTTTCTTATTTCCTTCCGTTATTCATTCATTCATTCATTCATTCATTCATTCACAAACTCACATGTTCATTCTACAAATATTTTTATGAGAATTACTATATGTGGCAGGTCCTCATAAATACAATAAGGAAATACAATAATGGGTGAAATCCGGCTCCTTACCCCCCTTGAAACTTACACACGTGTGGGAAAGTAGCCATTAATCAAATCAAAACATGAAAAAATATGACTGGAAAGGGTTCTAAGAGAAGAACATGGTGCCATGAGAGTCATTGGTAGGGATTTTCCTTATTGGGGGAGATGGATAGGAGGTTAGAGAAGCCTTTCCTGGGGATATTCTGATTGGCCTTAGGAAGGGAATTTTCTGAGCTATGAGACCAGTCATGAAAGTGAGCTCAGCAAAGAGAGGGAGGGTGCTGAGTACACTGGAATAAGAGAGGACCATGTTAGATTAGTACTTGGTACTAGGCATTCTAGTGGTTTTTAAAAAATGTTTATTTCTTTTGAGAGAGAGAGAGAGTGTGTGTGTGTGTGTGTGTGTGCGCGCACGCGCAAGTGGGTTAGAGGCAGAGAGAGAATCCCAAGAAGGCTCCAGACTGTCAGTGCAGAGCCCGACATGGGACTTGATCTCACAAACCATGACATCGTGACCTGAGCCAAAATCAAATATAGGATGCTTAACCAACTGAGCTACCCAGGTGCCCTTAGGTATTCTAGCTTTTGAATTAAGACTATAGTTGTTAATTATAATGATTGTAATATAATAATGACCTGAAAAGATCATTAACTGAAAAGATACAAGCTAACAGACAGCCAGGGAACACTCCACTACCAACAGCAGAACACACATTCTTCTCAAGTGCACGTGGAACCTTCTCTAGGACAGACCATATACTACGTCATAAAATAAAGCGTCGATAAATCTAAAAGCCTTGAAAATATATATAGTATGTTCTCTGGCCACAGTGGAATGCAATTACTGATGACTTAAGATGAGAACTTTTTATATTTAAAATTTTTTGTTGGGGCACCTGGGTGGCTAGGTCAGTTAAACATCCGACTTCGGCTCAGGTCATGATCTCACAGTTTGTGAGTTCAAACCCCAAGTTGGACTCTGTACTGACAGCTCAGAGCCTGGAGCCTGTTTCAGATTCTGTGTTCCTCCCTCTCTCTGCGTCTACTCTGCTCATGCTCTCTCTCTCTCAAAAATAAATAAGTAAATAAAATTAAAAAATAAAAAATTCAAAAATGTTATTAAAAGTTGCTATTTCAGTGGCACCTGGGTGGCTCAAGAGCGTCCAACTCTTGATTTGGCTTCGGTCATGATCCCAGGGCCATGGGACTGAGCCCTGTGTTGAGCTCCGTGCTGGGTGTGGACCCTGCTTAAGATTCTCTCTCTCTCCCTCTGCCCCTCTCCCTCACTTGTGCTCTTTCTCTCTCAAAAAAAAACTTGTTATTTTTGCATTTTTATAAATTTAAACATTACAAAGTCTCAAGCTCTGGGTATCATATAAATTATTCAAATCCCATCACAATAATAGAACATTCAATTATGGCATAAGGTACTTTGTAATGTGACCATGTAGCTCTTTATAGAATAAAGAAAAGCTTATGAAAATCTTCTTTACCATTGTGGGGCTTTACTTCAAATACTCTGACATAAAATTAAGGGTGTAAAAATAATAGTATGTTATAAGTGGAATAAATAAAGGTGGGTCCACTCAGGAAGCTGTGAGATAAGGTCTAGGGCAATGTCACTGGCACAGAGAGAAGTGGGTTCTCTGGGGAACTGTGCAGCAGGTAAAGTCTACTCAAAGTGGCAGTGGCTTTGTTGTGAGCACTGACGGCAAGGGGGGGCGGCATAAGTAATAGAAAAGTCCCAGGTTTGTGACATGAGCAACTAGGGAGACTGGCAGGGGCATTTCACGAGCTAAAGGAGTGGGGAGAACACAAGCTGAATTCAATTTTGGAAGTATTGAATGTGAAGTGTCTGAGAAACATCAGACGTGGTGGAGGGAGGGGAGGAAGGGGAGGTAGACAGGTATACCCAGAAGAAGAAGAAGCATTCAATGAGGTGGGAGGAAAAGCAATAGAGTGTGTTCTTCAAAATGCAAAAAAGGGATGCCTTGATCTCTCATCCGTGCTCACAAAGCACTTGAAATTGCAACTCCAATAGCACCTAACTTATCGCATCAGAGATATTTGTGAGTGTACATATAACTCAGAATAGATATCCATGAAGGGAGGTCAGCAAACAGTTGTTCAAAATCTGCAGAAGTGAGGCTAAAATGAATGAACAAATGAGGAGGCATCTAGGGGAAGGGAAAGGCATTCCAGGTGCAGCCAGCAGAGCGAAGAATAGAAGGAAGAGAAAAATAAGAATGTGAAAGCAATTATTCCTCATTATTTCTAGACTCCAGGGTCTATCAAGCCATGGAGAAAAGCTCTTGTGTATATGGACGGCCCAACAGCATTTGGAACCTCCTTCCTACATGAAAACTGACAGCCCTTAAATAACTGAGTGCAGCCTCTCTTATAAGAGGCTGGTGGATGGTCCCTTGGTCTTCCATGTGTTGGCATCTCGTCAATAAGAGGTGGTAACAAACTCATCTCCAGCTGGGGTCTCTCTGACAACAACAATTCTGATTGATATTTAATTCATATGGAAGTAAATAATTCTGGCCACTTCAGGAAAAGCAGTTTGTGATAAAGTTTGTCTACTCTTTCCTCTCCTCTCCAGTTAATTTCCATGACCTACTTCTCCTTTACTAAGCAGTTATCCCCTTCTACATTTGAACTCATGGGTTGTCTACAAACTTGTTTTTTATTGTCATTGCTGGTTGCTTTTGCTTCATTGTCATTTTAATGAGTTCACATGGTAGAAATGGTGGGGAAAGTGAGGTCATGTGCTTGAGGGATGGTGGGTCAAGGTGGCCACACACGAGTGGGGCTCATTTGTAAATCTGCAGTTTTTTGAAGGACAATTTCCAACTCTCAAACATCAAGTTAGCTTTCAAATCATTCCCCAATATTTTGTTTACCTCAGATTAAAAGTAGGATATATCTGGGTCAAAGTCTGCACTACATTATTTTAATTATTGTTGTAAGGCAACAAAGACTGACTTTGGAACAGAAGGAAACCTAGAGAAAAAACACTTTGTAAGATAGGACTTTTATCACCTCCCACTACAGATAAAATGAAAGGGAGTTTCCATTTGTATGGGACCTAGAAAACAATGTTTTTGCTGCCTCATGGATTTTCTAAAGATTTTTATAAGATATAAAACATTTGTTCATCATATACAATTTACAACTGGAGAAAAATGTACAAAAGAAAATGGAATCACTATAATTATATCACATTTAGGGAATCATCATGAATCATTGCTCACATTTTAGACCTTGTCTTAATACACTTTTTAAAATACATAAATACGGGCGCCTGGGTGGCTTAGTCGGTTAAGCGTCCGACTTTCGCTTAGGTCATGATCTCGCAGTTCGTGGGTTCGAGCCCCGCGTCAGGCTCTGTGCTGTCAGCTCAGAGCCTGGAGCCTGTTTCAGCCTGTGACTCCCTCTCTCTCTGACCCTCCCCTGCTCAAGCTGTCTCTCTCTCTCTCTCCTAGAAATAAATAAAACATTTAAAAAAATAAAATACATAAATAATATCATCTAAGGCATAATTGTATATTTTGCAATTTAACACTGCATAAGGAGTAACTTCCTGTGTCATTAATATTTCTTATAACAACTGTTTAATATTTCCATGTAAAGGATGTACCATAATTCATTTAGCCTTTCATCTGTACATTTAAGTAAAACAGCAATGAGTCTTAGTTTAGCGATCTTTGTTTGACTTTCTGACCATTCTACATTCATGAAATGGATTACCGCTTGAATGGGTACAAACATATTCAAGTCTCTTGGTGATCAACCAATAATTCTCTTAATTACTGTAATATTTGCCAAGCAATGACTGTGACCAGAAACTATACAAGATACTGGTGATATAGCAGTAATTCCCCAGCATTTCTGACATGCCCTGGACATAGGCTAAGCCAATTCTGGTGAGCAGAGAAAGCCATTAGACAGACTCCTAAGTGCTTTTAGTTAGAAGTCATTGGATTGACATATACAGGAATGGTGAGTTCCAAGGATATATGGGGCACCAAAAGGGTCTTCTGCTCTGTTCCACTTGATTTTTTTCTCTGTGGAATCTGAATTTTAAACATAAAGACAAAACCGACAACTTTGATCGATACTGAATAGGTGTTAAGAAACAAGAAACTGTTTTAGTCACAGCCTTGCACCTCCCAGAGATCTGAATTGGAGGTCTTAATGGATGTTAACCTCTCTGGATCTTAACATCCTAGTGTGTAGAATGGCTGGAGGTAAGTAGAATGAATAGGGCTTCTTTACAACTCTTATTTTTCATTATTTGAATTACGGTGTGGGGGGATTCCTCTCTGCCCTCATTAGCTGTACCAAAGCATTTCAACGGGTATTTAATATCTAATATCTAACCAGTTCAACTTATTACATCACATCTCTTTTGAGTATCTACTCTTTACTAGCCACTGTTCAAAGCATTTTTATTTATCTGTAATCATAGCAATCATCTGAGAAAGCTAACAAAAATCCCATTTCATAGGTGAAGATTCTGGTTCTGAAAGGTGATATGATTTACTCAGATACTTCTGACTTCCAAACACGTGTTTCTTTATACTGCAGGACAATAAGATGGTGACGACTATTTTACGGAAGAGGAACGAAGAAGCTATAGGCCACTGACCCTGACCCTAAGAGAAGCATGAGTCTATGGAAAGTCTTTCTCCAAATCCAGCCCATCATTCCAAGTGCACTTCTCTCTTTGGATTCGTGAGCTTAACTGAAGGGAATGCACGAGGGTTCCAGCGGAAATCGACTAACTTTAAGTTCTCAGGGCCAGAGAATTCCTTCTTTTTATTAATCTCCTGTTAAACCGAAGCAAGGAATGGCCAACCACAACAAAGATGGCGGCAGCAACCTCACCACGGCAACTGCGATGCATTTGTCGACAAGCGCACCAACCTTTAGTTCCGGCCTGCCAGTTTGACGTCACTTCCGGACCCGGCTCGGTTTGTGCGCCGCTCTTCCTGCTGCTGTGGTGGAAGTGCGGATCCTGGTGAGTGGAGTTGAGTGAGTCTCGAGAGGGGACTCGGAGAGAATGGGGAGCCAGCAACATGGAAAGGGAAGGTGGGAAGCCCGCGGCCGTTGTCGCAGTCGTGACTGAGCCTCGGTTTACCCAGCGATACAGGGACTATCTCGAGAAGCAGGAACTCCTGGATAGACGGCACCGTGTGCAAAAGATGCCGGATGGCACCGTGGCGCTACCCGTGCTGGCAGAGGCCCTCCCTGAGCAGCACCTGCGGGAGCTGAGGAATTGTGTGGCTCCCGGCAGCACCTGTATAGTAACCCAACTCCTGGATCCTGTTCCCTCCAAGAAGGCTCAGAGTTGCTCACCTGCCCAAAGGCTGTGTTTTGAGGTGAGTCGCTGGGTAGAGGGCAGGGGAGTGACGTGGTCAGCTGAGTTGGAGGCTGATTTGCCCCGATCTTGGCAACGACATGGTAACCTCTTGTTGCTGAGTGAAGACTGTTTCCAGGCCAAGCAGTGGAAAGATCTGGAACCAGAACTCTGGGAGACTGTTGCGTCGGCACTTGGCGTCCATCGTGTGGCCAAACGAGGGCGGGTATCACCAGATGGCACCCGGACACCAGCAGTGACTCTGCTGCTGGGCGACCACGGCTGGGTAGAGCATGTGGATAATGGGATCCGATATAAGTTTGACGTGACCCAGTGCATGTTCTCCTTCGGAAACATCACGGAGAAGCTTCGAGTGGCATCGCTGCCCTGTGCTGGAGAAGTGCTGGTGGATCTCTACGCAGGGATTGGCTATTTTACGTTGCCCTTCCTCGTCCATGCTGGTGCTGCCTTCGTCCACGCCTGTGAGTGGAACCCCCATGCTGTAGTTGCCCTGAGGACTAATCTTGAGATCAATGGAGTGGCAGATCGGTGCCAAATACACTTCGGGGATAACAGAAAACTGAAGGTCTCAAGCATTGCAGACCGGGTGAACCTGGGGCTGATTCCCAGCTCTGAGGAAGGCTGGCCCATTGCCTGCCAGGTGCTAAGACAGGACGCTGGGGGCATTTTGCATATCCACCAAAATGTGGATTCTTTCCCAGGGAAGAATCTCCAGCCTCTTGGAAACAGTGAAATGGAGAAGGGGCATTGGCCTCATCCTCAGCAACTTATCACCAACCAACGGACAAATGGAGCTCCCGAGGATTCTAGGAGAAAAACACTGTCAGCAGCCACCAAACCAGAGTGGCAGAGGTGGGCAGAATCTGCAGGAACTCGGATCTCTTCCCTTCTTCAGCAGGTGCACGGGAAACCGTGGAAGACACAAATCCTGCACATCCATCCGGTGAAATCGTACGCTCCTCATGTGGACCACATAGTCTTGGATTTGGAGTGCCGCCCCTGTCCTCTAGTTGGCTAGAGAAGGTGGATCCTGAGATACAGGGATCTACATGTGAGTGACCCTAATACGTAAGTTTAGGCTGGGTTCTCACCCTTCTTCTCTCCTGGCAACCTATTTTAATATTTTGTGGCCCTGAAAGCAGGCTCTAGAACAATCCAAGTCATTGCATTTGTCTTCTGTTAACACACTGGGAATGAACTACATATCTGGGAGAAGCAGTGTGGCTCATTAAAATGAGGCCTGGGTGTTTCTGAATTCTGACTTCAGTTCTGTCTTACTTTGGGCACGCGATTCCAATATTCTTTTGGCCTTGAATTTCCTCACTTGCAAAGTGAGGATTTCTTTGAATGGTCTCATATGGCTGTTATCTAATAAGCAGTTGTACACAGGGCATTGGTTATCTTAGAGTGAAAGAGACAATGCTGTTTCCAAAATCACTCCAGTGATAGTATGGAAAATCGGCCACCCGGGTGGGGCCAGGATGGAAGCAGGGAGACCTGTGACGAGGTTTCTGTGGTGGTCCAGGCAGGAGATGGTGGTGGCAGTGGCTCGTGGGTGAATTTGGGATATAAAATCGATGAGACTAGGCAATAGAGTCCAAATCAAAGCAATCAAATGGTGCGGTTTTGTTATTAAGACTGACTGAATTCAGGAAGGAAGAAGATAAGAATTACTCTAGTGTATTAACTCCATTCCCTTACTTTAACATTTCTAAATGAGTGTCGGGGAAGGATGTCTTCTATATCAGGTTTGTTGATGTAGAAAAGAAGTTAAGAATGACTGCTTTAAATTAGAGGTAAACTAGATTTCCAGCTTGAAGCTTGTTCAAAAAGCTAGCTATTTTATTTGAGAGAGAGAGCACGAGCAGGGGCGGGGCGGAGGGAGAGAGTGAGAGTGAGATAATCCTAAACAGATCCCATGCTCAACGTGGACCCCAACACAGGGCTTGATCTCGCGACCCTGGGATCATGTCCTGAACTGAAATCAAGAGTTGGAGGATCAACCAACTCAGCCACCCAGAAGCTCCTAAGCTAGCTATTTTTTTTTAAAAACTGTTTAATGTTTATTTTTGAGACAGAGAGACACAGATAAGAGCCTGAGCAAGGGAGGGAGAGCAGAGAGAGAGGGAGACACAGAATCCGAAACAGGCTCCAGGCTCTGCTCTGTCAGTGCAGAGCTTGACGGGGGTCAAACTCATGAACCACGAGATCATGACCTGAGCTGAAGTCAGAGGCAACGGACTGAGCCAGCCAGGCGCTCCTAAGCTAGCTTTTCTTAAAGTTCATATGTTAACAGGCCTCAGATTCCCTTTTTCATTTTCCTTCTCTGGTGGACACGGGGGCCGGCATAGGGAGCTCTAGGGAATGTGAGGTATTCTGCAGTTTCTCAAACACCACTTTACGCTATGGCTGTCTGCCAGCACCACTGTTTACCACTGGAATGACTAATTGCAGAGAAGCACTGTTTACCCTTGGGATGACTAATTGTTGAGAATCACTCTTCAGAGCTTTGTTTTCACGCCCTTTGAAGCCATCTGGGCTTGTTTGCCTGATGAAGGACACAGGAAAGTTGTGCTTTCTCAGGATTATGACTGTGCCTGGCATTCGGCTGGCTGGGGTCAGGCGGGTGCAGCTTGTCCTCGGAACAGCGTCAGTAAGGACAGGATGGTGCTGTTTATGCTTCCACGCAAATTAAGTGCCTACTGTTTATCGGAGCCAGAGATGGGTCAGATACAGACCCGGTCTCTGAGGAGCTCATAACCTTGCAGCAGAAATAACACAAAGACTCAAAGAGGTGGAATACAATAGGTGCCTTAAGAGTGATCGCACCAGGTCGAAGTGCAGAGGTGGAGAAGAAACGTTTTGAGAATGGGGAAGCCTTCAGACAGGTAGTGTCTGAACTGACTCTTAAAAACTGGGCAAGATTTTGTTAACGAGTCAGGCTGGAAACGGATCCTAGTTGAAGAAAATAATAAGTGCAAAAAGTTGCTCAGAAAATGTTTGGAGCATTGTCACTAGATCTGTTTGGAACAGAAGAAGCAGTGAGAGACGTGTTGAAGATGGAGGTCGTCGTAAGGATTAAAGAGAATAGTGTCTAGTACCCAGTAAGCCCCCAGGAAATGTTAGCTATCATGCGATCCCACCACAGAAAGGGGCCTGATTGTGCCATCACCATCTCCCCTGGTGGCCTGCCTGTGTTTGCCTCAATCATCTCCTCTTTTACGTGCTGGTTTCTCACATGTGTGCCTGCAGCTTGTGCGCCTCAGACTAAAAATGCCACGCTGGGGCCTGAGTCAGTATGGGGAGGAAGGAGGGCGCAGGGGAGAGACCGTGAGGAAGGGGAGTCAGGGAGCCACACGTCTAGGGGCTGAGGAGTTACCTTTCTGACATAAGCTATGAATGGGCGGCGGAAATTGGATACACCTGGATGATTTCATCCCCCCTGTTATATATGCATCGGGCCTTGAGTGGTCCGTGGTGAAAGAAGATTGATATGGATTCTGTCTTCATAGAATTGAGGTTCTATGACCTGGCTTCCCTTTCTCTGTGACCTGAGGCAGTCTCTCAAGATTTAGTGTACTCCTCTGTACCTATAGGTTAACAAGTGTACATATCCTGAAGGACACGTGTTAGGTATAAAGTGAGTTAACCAACAACGCCGTGACGGCATACAGTGAATACTTTAGTCAGTTTTTGTATAAGGTGAACTATCCTTTCCTAATTTGGGCGTGAGGAATCGCTCTACATTTGCTTTAGTTAAAGTAGACTGTCCTTGTTTTGAAAAGCCATTCATTGATTAATTGGGATTGTACTGTGTACTCTCTCTGTCAGGCACTGTGCTGAGGGCCAGAGACACAGAGGTGAGTAAAGCTGAGTCCTGAGGGACATGTCACTCTTGATCTTGGAGTTGTAAATTCAAGCTCCATGTTGGGTGTGGTGATTACTTAAAAATAAAATCTTAAAAAAAAAAAAAAGCTGAGTCCTGCCCAAAGTGGGAGGGATCACTTCTGGTGAAAGGGACACAGAGGAAACAATGTTAATACTGTGCACTAAGTGCTGAAATAGAAACAGATGGGTGTTTACAGGCACACAGGGGAGGCAGCCTCCTATGTTTAGGAGTGTGGGTTGGGGGAAGTGGAGAGTGTGACTGGGAAGGTGGGAGTTAGGGATGCCTCAGCTGAGAGTTAAAGAATGAGCTGGAGAGCCTCCTGGGTGGCTCAGTGGGTTAAGCAGCCAGCTCTCTTGGTTTCGGCTCAGGTCATGGTCTCTCAGTTTCATGGGTTCGAGCCCCTGGTTGGGCTCTGCGCAGAGTCTACAGAGCCTGCTTCGGCTTCTCCCTCTCTGTGCCCCTCCCCTGCTCCTGCTCTCACTGTCTCTCTCTAAATAGATAAATAAACTTTTTTAAAAAATGAAGGAAAAAAAAAGAATGAGCTGGAGTTATGTGTGAATGGAAGAAAATAAGAGTCCCTTAAGCCTTTTCTCCACGTTGAGTTTATCCATTTACATTACAGTCTTCTCCGAGCACTTGCTGGATTGGCCTGGTCAGGAAGAGGCACCTAATGGAACCAAGGAAAAGAGACTGAAAGGATCAGGAGGCTCCTGGAGGCTCTGTCACCTCAATCCAGGACTGTGTAAAAGTACTGACGGCTTCCTTTGTGAGCATCAGCATTAGTTGCCAGTTAATGCACCACTTGATGGAGAGGTTGTGATTAAAAAACAGAAATGATAATTTTATTAAGCTCCCTCAACTGTGAGTGGATTTATTCATTAACCTCATGATATTAATAAGTTATGAGCTTTTGTTGATATAGGGAGTATAATGTATGCATTTTAAATATAAAAACATAGAAATTTAAAATGAAGAGAAACACACAAGTGGCATTTTGAGTTCACTGTTTCACACTCTGGACATGTCAGTATATGTTATTCTGAACGAACAGCCTCAGGGTGCGGCCACTTCCCACTGGGCAAGCCATAAAACTCATCATTTTCTTGGCCTTTGGTAGTTTCCTCTTGTGTGGACCGATCATTACTCAGCTCATACGTCGGGAGTGGTCAGCAGATCTGGACTTCTCTGTAGCCCTCTCCTCTTTGGATGGAATGCCAGACTCGTTACTGGGCTCCCAGTACCGTCTCCACCTCAGGGAGTCGGCTGGGCTCCACTCGGCTTCCCCGCGTCCTGCCACAGCCGGAAACTTTCTCCAGGCAGTTAAGCTGCTGCGATTAAGTGGCTCACCGTGTTTTCATCTCCCACGGATCATTGTCCTTCACAGCCTGTGTCCGGTGCCTTGAGGCTAGTTGTTTCATATATTTTGTATAGCTATTTTTTTAAACTCTTTAGAGGTTTATAATAGTGTGTAAACTTACTAGTTTTCACAATCACTGAAGAAATTCACTCTAGCAATAATAAATACATATAAATACTTCAGCTGACACAAAATTTCAACATACAAAGTCCATAAGATCTTACCACAATTGTATGTAGAATCCCTACCTGTATTATAAACTGAATGTCAGCATATTGACAATAAGTACAATGGCAATTTTCGGATTAGATTTGAGCCTTGTCTGCAAGATTACTTGGTCAACAATCACATAATTTCAGAGAGGCCAAAAACTGTCAGAATAGTTATTTGTCTCTGGCTTTTTAAAAAAAAATTTTTAAGTGTTTTTATTTATTTTTGAGAGAAAGAAAGAGTGTGAGTGGGGGAGTGGCAGAGAGAGAGGGAGACACAGAATCTGAAGCAGGCTCCAGGCTCTGAGCTGTCAGCACAGATCCTGACGCGGGGCTGGAACTCAGGAACCGTGAGATCATGACCTGAGCCGAAGTCGGACGCTTAACCGACTGAGACACCCAGGTGCCCGTCTCTGGCTTTTTAAAGGTTAAGGTTGAATCAAAGGCAAGTAGAAAATAATGAATATGAAGCTAAAACTGTATTTTGGAACGTCCACATACATGCACACACACACATCCACCACATATACATATCCTGTCGTCTCCTGGACTGAGTAGCCCATGCAACAAAGTTCTATGTACACTATTAGGTGAGTATTTATTGATGGACAGACTATCCTAGTTTGTTTTTTATAGTAATTCAATTTTATTTTTTTTAAATGAAAGCTGTATGTATGCATAGTTTCAACTCTAGTAAATGTAACAAAACTTTATGAATAAAACTAGCTCCACAACACCACACAAAGCAGCTCTATCCTGCACAGCTCCTTTTCTCTTATTTTTATGTCTGCTTTCAACAATTTCAACTGGGCCCGTGTGCCAGAGGGGATGCAGGATCTAAGCAGCATGTCCCCGCCAGAGCCATGTGAGTATGAGACTGAGCCCTGAGAATGCTGGGAGAGACACAGTTAGCACTTATGTAGGACTCCACTCCCCCATTGTATAGTCTGAGGGCATCTAGACCATGTGAACATTTCACGGAACATTCTACTAACCTACTGTACTTCTGGCATTATGCTAATTAGGCCAGTTAAACAATGAGCTACTATATTGTACTCCAAAGGAAGGAAAGTAATCACTAATATAACCCAGCGACCTGTTACATCACTGACATTTTTAGAGCTACGGGTCTGCTTGAATGCTAAGATTGCTCCTTCACAGTAAAGAACAAATTTTTCCATCACACCCACTTGTCATTATTCCTCCATCAAGGAAGCACACCAACCTCTGTATGCTCTTTTGTGGGAATTCAGAATGTGAGAATACTGCTCTGACTCCTTTCCTGGGTGATATAGAAGGCTGCCAGTTTTCAGTGGAATCCACAGCACATAAAACCTCTAGCAGGTACAGGCTGCAGTGTAGTTAGCTTTGTTTCATGGGCCATTCATGAAACAAATCCAGGAAACAATCCAGGAGAGTCTATGGTACAAGAGTATGTATGATGAGCAAAGCAGCCATGGGAGTTTATGGCAAGCTCCAGTGGGCAAACGAGGTAGCCTCAGGTAGATGTCTGAGACCAGGCAATATGCACCAGAGAACTGTGTATCATCCAAAAATGGCTCCTGGCATGCTAATGGACATTGGTAGAATCTGAGCATCTCTTGGGACATCAGGTGACCATGTAGCCAGAGTTGCCCATGATGAGCTGAGTTTTGTCAGACCCTTCAAGTCAAAACCATTGTAAGATGGAAGTCGTACGTCTGGGACGAAGGACAAGGAGAGCCACAGGAAATGAATAGGTGCACAGGTAGGTGGCCCAGACTCCTGTGTCATATTTCTAACATCATTGGGCATCTTGCATCAGTGCCCTACCTTCAGCTCACAGTTTTGGCCACTTAAGAGGCTCTTTTATCTTGCTGATAAAGGATACAAATGCAGAGCTAAGTTCATTGATGGGTTTTCTTGGCATATAGGTTCAAAACCAAAATAGACTCCTGCTACCCTGCAGCTCTACTGAGTAGTGGTGTTAAAAGACAGCAGGGAGGGGAATCTTCCCACAAGGCAGAATTGGGGGCAATATTCCTGGTCATCCACTTTGTATGGAAAGAGGTGTGGCCTGAAATAAGACTATACCTTCATGGCAAGTGGCAAATAGGTTAGCGAATTGATCAGGGTCCAGGAGTGGGCTAGATTAGATCAGGGACAAAGAAGCCTGGAGAAGAGGCAGGGGGAAATCTGTGGGATTGGATACATGAGTAAAGAGCCGTGTGTTGCATAAGTGCCTACGAGAGACATGCACATGGAAGAGGAACTAAACAAGTAAACAAAAACACTTGGCCAGTTAATTTTAGCAGTTGCAGTCATGAGCCACCCCAGTAGCATAAAGGGCTTATGAATAAAGTCCTGTTGCAGGGATGCCGGTTAGCAAGATGCCAACGGCATGGCCTCTACTCCCCAAGGAGCCTAGTATTCATCGTTGAGCCCTTGTTACAACACTGTCCCTCAAGGAAACTAAGCAGCTAATTGGTAGCAAGTGGATTACATTGGACTTCTGTCATGGAAGGGCAGTGATACCCCTTGACTAGAATCTTCCTGTTTGCATCTATGAATTTGCCTTTCCTGCCCACAAGATGTTGGCCAGTGCTGCTATCCAAAGGTTTACAAGTGTTTGATCCATCAATATGTATCCTGCATAATATTGCCTCTGAACAGCAAATGTGGTATTGGAGTGGGCACATGACCAGGTGATTCACTGATCCTTTCACATAGTATACAACCAAGAAAATGGTGGCCTGGTGGAGTGGTGGAAAACCCTTTAGAAACCAAACCAGAGCTTGGAGACAATGCCCTATGAATGGGATGCCATCTACCAGGGTGCAGTATACACTCTAAATCAATACCTATTACAGAGTGAGTGCCATGTCCCATATAGATGGAAAACGCACAGCTAGGAATTAAAGGGTAGAAATAGAATTTCCACTGTAGTGGGCTAAACAATGTCCCCCAGATATGTTCATGTGCTAATACCCAGAACCAGTAAATATGTATTATTTTAACATAGTAAAAGGAACTTTGCAGGTGTGATTAAGTCTATCTCAAAATGGGAAAGTATCCTGGATTAAGGGACTTTACAGGTGTGATTAAGTCTATCTCAAAATGGGAAAGTATCCTGGATTAAGGGACTTTGCAGGTGTGATTAAGTCTATCTCAAAATGGGGAAAGTATCCTGGATTATCTATGTTGGCCCAATATAATCTCAGAGGTCCTTGCGGGAGGCCATGCATGTAGGATGTGTGCTGACCAAAGCAGGATAGAGTAACATAAGGAAAGGGCCATGAGCCAAGGAATGTTGGAGGCTTCTGGAAGCTGAAAAAGGCAGGGAAATGGATTCTCTCCCCGAATGCTTCAGGAGGAACAGAGTTGCTGACTCCTTGATTCTAGACTTCTGATCTACATAACTGTGAGAGAAGAAATTTACGTTGCTGTAAATCACTAAATTTGTGGTAATTTCTGATAGCAGCAATAGGAAGCTAATACACCCACTTAGTGTCCTCACTGGTCCCCACAGGGAGTTCGTGCTTCCCGTCTCCACAACTCTGCGACTAGAGGGCTGGTTCCAATTGGGGAACTCTTTCATCAGGAGATATAATAATAGACCCTTTACACTTTAACCGACTGAGATTTCCCAGTCATGTCAGGCTCCTTGTACTAAGAGGCCAGCAGGCAAGGAGTCACCATTCCGGTTGGGGCTCAGTGAATCCGATCACGATGATCATCGATCATCGGGAGGAAGGCGGGTTATTGTCACACAGTGAAGGCAGGAAGGAGTGTATTTCACGCTCACTCCACTAGGGCATCTCTTGACACTTCCCTACCCAACATCAAGGGTAAAATGAGTAGCTTCCAAAATGACGCAGCGAGGACCTCTGAAAACTGGCTTCTCCAGAAAAGCAGTGAGAACACTGGCAAAAATGGTCAAAATCAACTTTTCTTTTTAGAACTTTAGAAACAAAGCTGGCAGCGATCGGAAGATTATTTATTTTTAAAACGGCTAAATTTTGGGGTGCCTGGGTGGCTCAGTCGGTTGAGCGTCTGATTTCAGCTCAGGTCATGATCTCACTGGTTTGTGGGTTCGAGCCTCATGTCGGGCTCTGTGCTGACAGCTAGCTCAGAGCCTGGAGCCTGCTTCAGATTCTGTGTCTCCCTCTCTCTCTCTGACCCTCCCCTGCTCACGCTGTCTCTCTCTCTCTCAGAAGTAAATAAAACATTAAAAAAATGGCTAAATTTTGATTAAAAAGGGAAGCTCTGGCACTATAAAGTGCCCAATTCCCACCCCACCTCCATTCTAATACA